GAAAATCACAATAGACATTTATACACCATTCGATAGAGAATTTCAAGGGCTATATTTTGCACTATTTTGTTTTCGAAAAGAAACAAAGTCACTTTTCCGCCTAATGTCCGCCTGGATGCCCACTGTGCTGTATTACCTAGGAACTTGAAAATTCAATATCCCAAGACAGGAAGGCCATGGGCCCGAATCCTTTTGGGGTTATTCTAGTCTAGCGGTCCTCTCGATATCCCAAAATATGAGCTTAAAAGCAGTAGGTCACTTCGAACGGTTCCCTCTTTAGTTTCACCTAGAGGTTGCTCTAGGTTCCAACGCTGACTATCTCAGGATAGTCCAGACTGTCCACGTCGCCAATTAAGTGGACCAGAGACGGACAGCTAACATTCGCACTAGCCAAAGTCAGAGCATAGCAATAGTGGTTAGGTGCTTTATCAATAAGTTAGAATTTTGTAAGTGAGTATAAACATGAAACTATGACAAACAAAAATTTGAGTTTAAACTGTGTCAACACAAACATTCCTTTTCAATAATTACAAATATCGCCATCCAATCGTGAAGAACGTGCTATGCAAATAAGAAAGCCATTTCAATTAGGTATCGTGGACCATCACATATGAGATCGTTCGCCTGTTTCTCTTTCAAATAAAGCGTATTTATACTAAATCATCGATTGCAACGATATTATAGATGATTAGATCATTCCTATACTCTTCTCCATGTTTATTTCAATTATAGTTATTGGATGGTTATTTGCACGATATTCTAATGTACTCCTTTGTACCATAATTACTATATCGTCATTTGTACCATAGTTACTATGCTTATTTTGACCGTTTTTGTTAGATAGTCATTTTGACCATCGTTGTTAAATGGTCATTTTGATCACGGACGATCCACAGTGAAAGAGCGATTTTCACAATCAAAACGACCATTTTGTTTTAGTTGGTTCATATCTTTATTCTCTTTTATAAAATCTTCATTTTGGTGCTTAAATGCTTTGTAACTTTTTTGTTTTACATTTTTTTATGGTCAGACCCTCAATAATTAGATAGAAAATAATTTTAGGAGGATTTTGTTCAAAAAATTTCATAAAAATAATCTAAATTTCTTAAAATATGAGTGGTTTTAGAGCTCTATGAGAAACGCACTCAATGAGAAGTCTAGGTGTCCCTTAAGTACTGCTTAATTTTTCCCTTAAAAATCCACTTAAGTGAAATACTTAAGCTTTTTTGAGAAACAGGCCGCACTAACTAGCATTTTACTCCATCAACTCTATCCGACGTTTCTCTTTTAAAGGCGTTATAAAACGGCCTTATTTTTAGCATAAGAAAAAGTAGGACAAAAATATCTTTTGCTATCCTGCCCTGCCCTGCTGACCTACAGGGCAGGCTACAACTTTTTTCGTGCCTTGTGCTGCCTCCAGGGCAGGGCAGATCATCCTGCCCCGTGCACACCTGTGGTGTATACTAACGAAATAAGAAGAAGAGATTTCGTTTAAATTTTTTTTATTAGTTGACAATTAACGCTCATGTTTAATTCTAATAAAGAAAAGTACAGAAAAATTAAAAAAAAAGTCTCAAATATAATTGAACGGCTTATTTACAAATATAGTACACGAGTTACTGTGGATCAATGTCAGGGTATTTCTTTATGTATAGTGGTGGGAGAATTTTCGAAGCACAGAAGCAGCAGACCCGGTCGATTAGACTAGATCGTAGCCGATTGTCAATTTTCACTACTACGTCGACTTTCGCGAGTTTTGGACAAAAATAAATATCGCCAGAAAAAAGAACGGAAAAAGTTAAAAAATGAAAGATTTCAGTTTATATCTCCTCTTGGTTTCCTTCTCTAATGCGTCGAGTCGATTTAATTCTCGCAGCTGCTCTTCGTTCGGTTTGATTTGTATGTTCTTAATGTGAAATTTTCTTAAAATAACTAAATGTTTTAATTCCTTCACTCGCGATAGCGGTACGTAGGCTTGTGCAACGGGAGGTTTGGATGGTCTCGGAGGAAAGACAAGATCGATAACGATTTTGGGCATCGCTTGTCCTTGACTTTTATGAGTGGTCATACCATACGTGGGCAAGAGTGGTAGTTGTGTTCTTTTAATTGTAAGGTTGTGACTTTTCAGTTTTTTCCATCTTGTTTTAATTCATGTTTATGTTTCTCCAGGAAACCTTTGATATTCAGCATGAATTTTTGTGTTACAAGAGGAATTGGTATGAGTTTTGGAGCGACATACTGCCGTTGTACCATTACATAATTTTAATTCTATAGCTAAGTTTTGCGTCAATAGAACATGCACGCCCGGAACTAACGATAAGTATCCAGGTAGCCATTTTGTTTTATTATCTGGTGATTCGAGGAGGTATTTGTGAAAATCCGGATTGTCGATGTTAATTTTGAATTCGTATTGAGCAATGCATACCAACGGCTTAACATCCTTTTCAAATGCTTCGGACGCGGTAGCTAGAATGTTCAATTCAGTTCGTAATTCATTTCTCAAGACGAGGATCGGTGCTTTTTTCCATTCATCTGTATCGAGAGATTTCACATCGTGGTTTGGGTGTATAACTCGTGTCGTCAGTAATTCATGATCATCAACTGTACATTCGCATTTCCGAAGACGTTGAAGAAGTTGCAGATATCTTGAGTCACTTGTTCTCATCTGCTTTTCTAACTTTACTACAGTGTTTATTTGTTCCTACAGTGCTCGTCCCGATGCACATGTAGCAACACGTGTCTCTTTGATTTCTTCTTCTTCTGTGTTTAATGTCGGAATACAATGATTGGTCTCCCACAGGATCGTACTGGATGAAATCTCCAAAGAATATGACGTTAATGTCTCCAAATGGTATGCTTGGACTGCAGTGCTCGGCTAGCGTCAACAAACCACCAAGTTGTCCTAATAAGTAAACACCCACCATTGACATCTCATCAATGATTATATATCGAACATGTCGCCATTCCTTTTCGATCGTTGTTCGTTGAACTGCGCTTATCGTTTTTAGATTTCTATATGATGTGAAAGAGTGAATTGTGAGGCAGTCAATCTGGGCTGCAGCATTCGATGTTGGTGCTAGTTTTCGTAGTTCATGACTGCGTTCTGTTATTGAAAAATATTCTGTAATTGCAGGAATTAGTTGAGATTTTGCTGTGCCACCTGGACCAGGTACACACATTAATAACTGATCTTGTTTATTGTCTGAAGTACAAGATTAGACAAATAGCTAAGATCAGAAACAGCAAGATTAAATGTTACCTTTTTTCAAGTGGTTGTCTCCATTGATATGATTGGTAATGATCATAAACGCGCAAGTTTGAGCTTCGTTCAGCGTGAATTGTTTGGATATTCGTTCCTGGTGTTTCCGAAACGACATAGCTGTGATGCTTGTCACTTGTTCGTTAGTGATTGAATATTACGTTCGTCGTCTAGGTCTACCACATTTCGATTTACATTCGTCGCTTCTGCAAAATTTTGGTCTTCATGCTCTCCTTCTTCACCGTTTAGCATTTTCTCTCTGGCCTTTTGTTTTGCGTTATTCAGTTGTTTCTTCCAGATCTTGTTCAGTCGAATGTGACTAATTGTGGCTTCTTTGTGGTATGAATCCGTATTTATAATGGAATTCGTCTGATTAGCCATCGTTGCTGCTGACAAATGAGGGACTGTGCTTTGATTTTCTATAAAAGAAAACAAAAAATATTTCATTGTTCTATGTGCATGACACGACGTACTTGTCGAATGGGAAAATCTACCAGATCTTCTGAGTGATCCATCTCGCTTAGGTCTTCTCGAGCAAAATTTTTCGGTATATAGACCGAGTCGATGTTGTCATCCGCTGCTTTTGTTTGCTCAATAACTTGAATTAAATGCTCGTCCCGAGCTTTTCTACACTCATGCAGTAGCTGAATATTGTCAATTATTGTTTTTGACGATGGCAGGAAAAAGCTAGCGTTATTGGTCCCACATAATATCAGCTTGATCAGCTTGACATAAGTCATCTACACTTCTCCAGGGCAAAAACAATGTCAAAATAGCACGAGCATATCGTTCTTTCGTGTCTTCTCGATCTTTTCGAGGGATCTGAGGTCCAATCAAAACGGGTACAACAGTATCTGTACGCTGAATCAAGATGTGAGATTCGTATTGCGGATGATTTTCTTTGAATTTCAGCCTTTGATTTCGTTGTGGGCCACGCACAGTGGGCATCCAAGTGGAAATTTGGACGAGAACTGAAATATCTTGTTTTCCGAAACAAAATAATGCAGAATGTAGCTCTTGAAATTCTCTATCGAATGGTGTATAAATGTCTATTTTGATATTCACTTCTTCAAGAAGAAAACCTGGCAACAATAGCTGCATAATAGATATCAAAGAATGGGGCACATGCTCATAAAATCTTGATTAATACTTTGGTCACATATGCTAGACAATTTCAAGTTTGTACTTCGAGTGCGACGTTTGTATTTCTTCTCTACATTCTAGAAGCCGACTATCTTCATTCACTTTGAAGGATTCAAAAACCAATCAAACGATGATTTTTTCACTCTTTTTTCAATTTTTATGCAAGTATCAATTATTGATCCTGAGGATAAGAGGGCGCAGATGAAGAACAGAAATAATAACAAACTTGGCGTTTCTTTTTTAAGATCTTTTTTCTTTAAGAAGTTCCTGTTCCTTCCCGAGAAGTTCACCTGTTTTGCTTAGGAACTTGGTGCTTCTTCCCGAAAACTTCACCTTTTTTTCTTTGAAACTTAGCACCTCGTCACCTGATACTCACGTGTTATTGGCAAATCCATTTACTGACCTGTTGAAATATACGAATTTATTCTTTGCATTCTATATTTACACTGGCTTCCACTTACCAAATGTTCGTACTTCGAGTGCGACATTTGTATTTCTACCCTATATTCTAGAAGCTCTCTAACTTCATTCATTGTGTACTATTTGAAAAAGATCAAATAATGTTTTTTTTTTCAATTTTTATGCAAAAGAGTTCTTCCCGAGTACTTCACCTTTTTCCCTTTGGAAATTCGCGATTCTTAATCCGTGAGAATTGGGCGTAGTAAGAAACAGCAACTTCTTAAAGCAATACGATCAAGTTCTCGTGAACAAACACCAATTTCTTAAGGAGAAAAGGTGAAGTGCTCCTGAAGAAACACCAACTTCTAAAAGAAAATAGATCCAGTTCTCGGGAAGAAACACAAAGTTCTTAAGGAAAAAGTCAGTACTTCTCGGGAAGGAATAGCAAAAAATTTCTTAAAGAAGAAACGCCCTGTTCCTGGTATTGTTACTTCTCTTCAGCTGCACCTACTTATCCTCAGCAACAATAATTTGATCCTTACACAAAAGTTGCAGAAAAAATCATTATTTGACCTTTTTCAAATAGTACACAATGAATGAAGTTAGAGAGCTTCTAGAATATAGGGTTGAAATACAAACGTCGCACTCGAAGTAAATCGTTGTATGCGACCGTGGAGGACGGTTTACGGTGATCGTATACATGCTGTATTTCGCCGTATACTACACGGCGAAGTATCAAAGTACTTTTTAATATTAGATTTTTTCGAAATGATGTCTAATGACACTTTACCAGTAATAAAAAGTACTTTGATGGTTATTTATTATAAAGAATCATTTTTTAGTAAAAACAAGTAACTCTTTAAAGAGAAAAGTCACTTTTGGACAGAAAAATTGCTAGAAAAGATTCATTCATTATTACTTTTTTATGGTTATTTTTTACTATTTATGGTAATAAACGGTTAGTTTTTGCCTACTTTTTTCCCTGCATAAGCGGTAAACATCAAAAAGTCAGAAAAGTGCGAAACAGTGTAGAGAATTATTTCAGACTATAATGAAATATAGACATGTATGAATATACTGAGAGATGTTTTGAAATTTACTTGTAAAGAAAAGTTATTGTCGAATCAACAAATTAATTGACATTTTTATCGTCTTTGCGACTTGTTTGCATAACTCGAAAGAGTCGATCATGTAATAAATAGATATGTTGTTCAGTAAATAACCAACAAGCCGATTGCTTACACATATATTTCTGAACACCATCAATTTCCACGTTGAGATAAGAGTCTTCTTAACATAGCTTGTCAATCTGAAACAGTAGGAAAAAGTTAAGGCGACACAGTGCTGATAAATACATAGAAATAGAGAAAAGTACCGAGAATATATCAGGAATAGAGCCTGAGATTGTGATTTTGTCGCGACTGACATTTTCCAAAGTCCAACTATGAAGAAGGTTTTCAAATTGTTAAAGAATATATACGTTTTTTATTCACCTTTCCTGTTGCCACAAGATAGAACATCAATAGTAAATTTTTCGTGTTACTTGGCTGAGAAAGTCGCTTCATAACCATTCGGTCACAATCAGTTACGATAAATCGAGTTGGAACGAGCATAAAGCGATTTTATGAGTCAAGTTATATAGAAAACCTGCGTTTGATACACTGTTAACAAATGCGTATTCTTAAACAATTTTGACAATTATTCTCATAACTGGAGTCCGAAAAATATTCAATCACGTCACAGTCAAAATGCTGAACCCAACTGAAAAATACAAAAGGCTGCTTTTCCTTTGAAACAACTGCCGTAAATGGCCAGTGCTTACCGTCGTAATTGACTACTATACGGTCGTTTACAATCAAGCTAGATTGACTTAGATGTACCAGTTTGTCAACATATTACCTACTGTTAATGAATCTCGGATGCAAGGTGGTAGTCCAGACATAGCGCAGTAAGTGTGAAACACTAATAAAGAACGATGGGCTAAGAAGAGGATGGAATTTCGACCCACGGATTTTTTTATCCCAGACTTTTGGTTCAACCAGAAATTTCGAACTTTCAGCTTAGGTGCAGAATCAAAACATATATACCAAACTTGAAACTTGAATCCAAGTATTCAATTATTCAATTATTCGACTATTCAGGTATTCAATTATTGAATCAGCAAGGGTAGTCAGGAAGCGGTGTCACAAAGTGAGAGTGCTTAACGCATCCTTGACTGAAAGGGTTTTCGAAGGGTGCTGGACGGTATAATTGGATGCTCGAATAGTTGAATACATGTATGCAAGTTTCAAGTTTGACAATACTAAATCACAATTAAACTAATTAATTTTATTGTTATTTAATAAACTTCATAGTGCTGAGCACTATGCATTTTTAATGAAAGTCCTGTTTAGCAGGGCAATATGAGGCTTACGAGAAAACTACCCGAGATGTCATCTCTCGTTTTAATTCATCCATATTCCATCAGATCGAGTTTACTGCGGTAGTAAAATCTTAAAAAGACTTTTCCCGATGGCTTTGTCTTCAAAGGTTATAGACATCTTTCTGTTTTTCTGCTATATATGATCCAGAATATTGAAAATGCACAGTGCGGAGCATCATGTCGTCCTGTCGAGCAGTACGTTTTTATGTAAGTACATAGTGCTCGACACTATGAAGTTTATTAATTAGATTATGATTCAGCCCGAAAACTCTTTCTGACTTTGAGCGTGGGCTGAAAGTCTGAGACAAAGGATCAGTGGACCGAAAGTCATGTAAGCCCTATAATAATTTATTTTTGAGATTTACTGAATTTTTTCAAGTGAGGGATTGATCTATTAATAGCATATAGTATGTTTTAACTGTATTCAAAAATAGTCATAGTTCTCAAAAATCAGCTCTAACCATCAGCTTGTGCTTCGCATTAAGTGTTGTTCTCACAATTCCCTTACTATTAGCTGCCATGTGTCAAATCCATTCGGTTTTATGATAAGATGTGGAACAGGACTTCTAAAACAAGTCCAAAAGACCTTAAAAATCCATTTCAGATAGCTATTGCGAAAGAGATTCATTTTTATACTAATTTCGTCGTAGACTTTTTTTTAAATATATGTTTGTCACAGTCTGTGATGAACGAAAATAAGTGTTGCTAAGTTGTCTGCCAAGGCGTGTATCAAAAGAGATTCGTAAAAATGTCTGTTACGATCCATACTGCAATGAGAAAGAACTGTTGTTAAAGTATCTGTTGTGATCTGTTATATTTTCATGATAATGTCTATCACTGTCTTTGCGAAAGGACAGGATGCATCCGAATTTTTACTCATATATTTCAATATCTGTGTTAGATTGTGTTTCATAAAATCTTTGTTACAGTTTACCAGCTTAACTTGTAACCAAAACTTTTTACTACGGTTTTATGTAAATAACGTTCGATGGAAGATTTACGAAAATCTTTAAAAGTGACAAAGGAATTATATTATTTTAAGATTATCACAGCATTCTGCAATATAAATTATTAAACATACCGTAAATAATAAGACAATGATTTTGTTTTTATGTGTTTCAGATTTAATGTTTTGATGAAATGATCATTTTATTTCTATTAACATTAATTGGGACAAATATTATCGATAGTAGTCACTCTAATGGTGGTACTATAAACTGGGCATCAGCATATCCTAATTCTTCTTCTTCATCAATTGTGATTATTGTTACACAATTTTATTCGTGGCAGTATCCGACTATAAGTTGTTTGACAAATGTACCCACCTCAACTGATTGGCTTTTATATCCCAGTGTTAGTTTAACTTGTGTTGCTAATTGTTCTACCCAAGGTGGCTATTCTAGTAATACAATTAGTATTTTAACTGATTGTACTTCATACAGCGCATCATTGGGAATTTTATCAAGTCAACGATCTGTTAATATAACATCTAATGAAAGTACGTATTTTTGGATCGCTTATCAAGGTATTTCTTGGAGACCTTTGGCGAACGCTGCAACAAGTTTTAATCCTGGATGGTCAATTGTATCTTTGATTAACCTTCAAAGACGTCCCGATGGTTTAATTAACACTCAACCAGTGTCGCAGGTAACTTCGCCTCAATATGTTATTGTCAACAATACAGCTACAATTAAAATACCTGTGACAGATGTTGACGTAGGTGATGATATACGTTGTCGATGGTCCTCAAAAAACAGGTACTGTATACAAACATGAATTAATAACTTTCACATCTTCTGGCACAATTAAACATATAGAAATTCTATCAGCGATATGATAGCCGTGTGACTTACAAAAAGACGTGTTAAATGGATGTGTTATAGAAGTGAAAATAATATCCACGTCTGCTTTAAGACAGCCTTCACGAGAGTACCAAGGATCACCCCAGTATACGAGGCACTGTTCAAAGATTAAATTTTTGATTTTTAGCTCATTTGGTTGTACTATAATAAAGTTAGTCTATATCGACTTTTTACCATTACTTACCTATCATCAAGAAATACTCATAAATCGTTCCATAAATGTCTATCAGGTTTACATTTCAACAAGTTAAAGCATTTTTTTCGTGCAATATACCAAACATTAGACGTCGTTGCTGTAAATGTTAACACACAATCAGATAAATTTGCAAAACTAATCGTACTCGCAGAAGTACAAACATCACCACATTCATCAACACCATATGCACTATTTACGAAAAAGAATATACGTAGGTCCAGCGATCCGAGAACGGATCCGATGGTCGGTCCTATTGAAATTCCAATCCTATCCGACTGTAAGAAGCGACGCATATTCCGTCCGTCGGATTCCTATAAAATTTCTGTAAAATCCGTAATGAGCTGCAATCCCTTGGAGAAGTCTGCTGTCCAAACTCTAACAGACCTTAAACATGACTTTGTGTGGGCTTATGCTGTTGAAATTTGATGTGATTCTTGCGACCTCCCGATCAAAGATCGCCACGGGTCACACGACAGTTATTTTCTTCACGTCGGGTTATGCTCTCATACAAGGATTTGTACAGGATGATCCAAAAAAAACTTATCCCCTGTGTATTTATTGACTTTCTTGTGTACAAATATAATTTAACTTTCTGTCATTAGTTTATTCAAACAGAGTAAAGATTTCTGGACAAAATGAGACGTCTTCGA